CAGGCCTTTTTGTCTCCCCTATTCGGTGGCTTTGATTCTCCTTATGTACTTCACACTAATCGTACCTTTTCATGTATAAACCATTAACTCGTAACGCTAGAGCTCATCTTCCTATCTCCACCAGTTTGTTCTTTGCCTTTTCAATCAATTCTCTTGCAAGACATTTCTCACAGTTGACTCATTTGTAGTGCATTTTGTCTTTGAATGTATGTCTAGCTGTAAGCATGCAAATTGACATCGCACTAGCTGCTGACGTACTATTTGGTAGCCCATTAGTTCCTAGTCCATTACTGTACCATCTACTAGTAATTTCCAGTGCACTTGTGATGAGCGAACTTGGCGTTGGCCCTCTTGCTGCTATTCAAGTAGCTTGCACTAAGGTTCAAGATTTCTTTGAACGTGTCCTTCTCCACTCTCACTTCATGCAGGTCTGCTTTTGTGCATCACCTAAGTTCCAGAGGGGCTAGCGGAAGATAAGCAAGGGTGGAGTGGAAGGAGGAGGGGGGGGAGGAGGGGGAGTCGGGAGAGGGCGGGGAGGGGGGGGAGGGGGGGGGGGAGGAGGGGTGCGGGTGTAGGGATGGTACAAAGGAGCAGGACAAAAAAAGGGGGGGAAAGGGGGAGTATCCTTTATCTAAGCCAGCATTACAAACTTCTCCATATTTGAGCTGTTGTTGGTTGTTGTGTGAAACTGTAACATCGCATACACCCATGACGTGTGCACCTCATCTTTGATTCCCTCCTCTTCTTTCCCCAGTTTATATTGAATGTGTCTGCATGCATACTGTTTTCTTGCGTGTATGTTGGATTGCATGGTACTTGGGAATCATTACGTAATAACCGTTATCGTTGTGCCATGTTGTGCAACGTTGGAGCATGCATGCCACGTGTATCCATCTCTTCCCCACATATTCCCTGCAATCATCTCTCATGCCCTCATATTCAATCCTGCCCATATTCCGTGTCCTCATATCCCGTAACCTCATAACTCGTGCCCACATATCCCGTGCAGTCATATTCCGAGCCCCCATATCCCATGCCCTCATACCCCGTGCCCTCATATCATGTAACTCCACTAATCATGCCCCTAAAACCAGTGCCCTAAAATCCCGTGACTGCATATCATGTGCCCTCATTTTCCAAGTCCCCACATGTTCTTTACCCCTGCGTTTTGTCGCAGAAGCATTCGTGTATCATTTCATTGCATTGACTGCATCATTATATGCTTGCATGCTGTATGCGGTCGTTTGTACCCAATCATTTTGTTATGCTGTATCAGTGCTGGAGTGATGCATATATGCAAGTGCACTGCGTGGATAGCGGTTGTCGTTGTCGGCTTGGAAAGCGTTGCTTCCAAAACGTACATGTCAACCCCACCTGTAGCACGGAAGCATTCGTGTATCATTTCATCGCATTGACTGCATCATTATAGGCTTGCATGATGTACGCGCTCGTTTTGTACTCAAGCATTTCATTATGCTGTGTCAGTGCTGGAGTGATGCATATATGCCAAGTGCACTGCACAGATGGCGGTTGTCGTTGTCGGTTTGGAAAGCGTTGCTTCCAAAACGTACATGTCAACCCCACTTGCAGCATGGAAGCATTCGTGCATTGCTTTATTGCATTTACAGAATTATTGTTCGTGTGTATACAGTTGATGGGTGCTTTGAAAGGTTGATGCACACCTCTTTGATTCTACCGCCGTATATATCGACGATGGAACCATAGAAATTGTGCACAAACCACCTGACATTGCACATCGTCCTCATGTCCCATGCCTTCACATCCGCATGCACTAACTTTGTATGCCCTCAGATCTCGTGCCTCATAACTTGCGCCATATCTCATGCCCCTATCTTCCGTGCCCTCATACTCATGCCCTCATTTCTTGTGCTCTCATATCCCGTGCCCAAAAAACCCATGTTCTTATATCTCGTGCCTTTACATACCATGCCCTCACATCTGGCGCAATCGTATCATGTGCTGTCATAATATCCAATACCCAGTATCCCGTGCCCCCATATCATGTGCCCTCTTGTCACGTGCCCTCTGTTCGCTTGCGTTTCGTGCCCTCATATTTTGTGCTCTCATATTGCGTGCACTTATTGCGTTATGTGCCCTCATGGCCTGTTTTACTCGTATCCCATGCCCTCATATCTCGTGCCCTGAGATTCGATGTTGCCAGTATTTAGTGCCCTGATATCCCATGCCCCCGTATCCTGTGCCACGTAACCCATATCTCTCGTATCCCTTGCGCTCACATTTCGTGGCCCCATATCTTGTAACCCTGTAATACGTGCCCCCAACCTACAAGTCACCGTATTCCGTGCCCTCGTTTTCCGTACCCTTATTGCGATCTGTGCCCTGATGACCCTTTTCCCTCATATCCCATGCCCTCATATCTCATGCCCTCATATTCGGTGCTGCCCATATTCCGTGCCTTCACATCCCTTGACCTCGTATCCCGTGCCCTTGTATCCCGTGCACTCACATTTTGTACCCCCATATCTTGTGCCCTTGTAATCCGTGCCCCCAACCTACATGCCACCGTGTTCCGTGCCCTTGTTTTCCGTGCCCTTATTGCGATCCGTGCCCTGATGACCCTTTTCCCTCGTATCCCATGCCCTCATACCTCGTGGCCTCGTATCCTGTGCACTCACATTCCGTGCCCCCATATCTCGTGCCTTTGTAATCCGTGTCGCCAATCTACATGCCACCGTATCCCGTGCCCTTATTGCGTTCCGTGCCATCATGACCCCTTTCCCTCGTATCCTATGCCCTCATATCCTGTGACTTCGCACCTCGTGCCCTAATATCCCTTGCACTCACATTTTGTGCCCCCATATCTAGTGTCCTTGTAATCCGCGGCCCCAACCTACATGCCATCGAATTCCGTGCCCTCGTTTTCCGTGCCCTTATCATGTTCCGTGCCCTCATCACCCCTTTCCTTCGTATCCCATGCCCTCAAATCGCGTGCCCTCATATTCGGTGCTGCCCATATTCCGTGCCCTCATATCCCGTGACCTCATATCCCGTGACCTCATATCTGTTGTGTGATGTCATCATATGCTATCACATTCTGTCTGCCTCTCATCTCTTGTTTCAATTCGTATGTATGGTTTGACTGTGTGTGAAAGAATTTGTGTGTGGTGTGTTCTGGAGTTTGGGAATGTGTTTTGTGTTATTCTGTCTGAGCAGGTATTTGTGATGATAGATCTTGAGAAGATCTTTCCGACGCAACAAGAATCGCTTCAATCGGAGCAAGAACGCGAAAGCTATGAAGATTCAAAGTTCATGAGCTTGCGTTACAATTGCGGCGGTTACTAAGTGAAGTTGTGGGGTGACTTTATATGGAGTTGGGACCTTTGGGGTTGGGGAAACTTGTCACTCTACTGTAACAGCTGCAAATAGGTTGGGAACAACCAAGCTAGGTTGGCAAGGGTGGCCAACTTGGATGGATTGGTTGGGAAGGGACAAAGGTCAAAGTTGAGGTTCCTATAGGGAGGGAATCTTTGTGCTTATGGGGTTTCCTTGGTTGGGGACTCTCTTGGGACCTTCCCTCTCATCCCTCTCTTCCTATCCCAACCTTTCTCTTGCTCCTTCTAATTCCTTGTGAGATTCTTGAACTTTGATTGAACCTTTGAGATTGAGTTAAGTTCTCCTCCTACAGCTTACCCCCTAATGCGTCGAAAGCCATAGCGTCGCGAATACTTCATCAATCAACGTGATTCAAATTGGGAACGGTAGCTGAGATTAAGAGCTACAACATATCCAAGTTTCGCGACATTCCAACGGCTAGTTTTTCGTCGACGTCGTTTCTTGTAAAGACGACTTTTCTGTCCAGAATTTCGGATTTATATTTTGAGTAATTCTAGCTCCTAAGTTCACCTAGACTCCGTCCTTAATCCTAACAAGTGGTATCAGAGCAATATTAAGGACATTGAGAGGAGTCTACAGAAGTTTGAAGACCCTTCTAGACCCACCATGGCCTGTGGGTGTGCCTAAGTGGTGTTCTAAAGGTTGGATGTGTCTTCCGCTAAGGGGAAACTCTGCCGAAATTTCGTGGACGCCGACACTTGTGAAAATATCGAGGGAGCTGAGTGTGGACAGCAAAGGGGAGCTGAAATTCGTCATTTCTCAAGGAGAAGATGAATGAGAGAGGAGGAGATGCTAATGGAAGAGGAGCTGTACCTGAGAAGACAAGTGAGCCGCCGCCATCAAAAGTTGAAGCTTTGGATGGCTCCAACTATGAGGAATGGAGCGGACGGATGAGGAGTGCCTTCAAACGCTACAAGCTACTGAAGATTGCTGTTGGGGAAGAGAAGATGCCGGAAGAAGGCGAAGCACGTGAACGGTGGATTGAGAAAAGCGCGGTGCTTTTCGACCTCATTCTTCAATCGGTCAACAAGGAGATGTTCGAGCACATCAAGGATCTTGTGGAAGCGGATGATTCGGGTCCAAGGGCGTGGAAACTACTACGTGATGTGGTTCAGCCCAACACTCTCCCGATGGTGATCGTGCTCGAGAAGGAACTTGCTGCCATCTCCATGCGACCAGGGGACGATGTGAAGCCGGTCCTTGACAAGATCAAGGACACCTATGCAAGGATGGCAGCAGCGGGCAGCAGTGTATCTCAGCTGCAGCAGTGCACCAAGATCATCTCGGTGTTGGACAACTCTTGGGACAACCTCATCCCCACCCTCAACTCTCAACAAGATCAATGGACACCTGAGTGGCTAAGGCAGCAGATTCTGCAGGAGGACTTCCGCAGACGCCATGTGGGAGGCGGTGCTGCCACTAAGACTGCTGAGGGGTATGGAGCTGCAGGGCGCGGCAGAGGAAGAGGGGGTTGGAAAGGCCGAGGCCGTGGGAGGAGCTTTGGCAGAGGTAGAGGCCGAGGTGACTATAATGAGGGGCATGGGAGCTCTAGTGGCAGGGGGAGTACCAGAATGGAGGGCACGTGCTGGTACTGCAAGAAGGTTGGGCATCCTTGGTTCAAGTGCTTCAGCAGGCTGGAGGGATGGGCACCTCCAGGCATGAAGCCGCCAAGTGGTGAACGCGCACAAGGTGGCGCTGTGCAAGGCTCAGGTGCACAAGGTGAAGGTGCACAAGGTAACGCCTATCCTGGGATGTATCTCATGGTTGAGGATGTGCATGGGCATGAGGGTGATGTGGGATCTGTGGGAAAGGTTGTGATGCACCCTCTCACGCACTGGGTGATTGATTCAGGTTGCACCAGTCACATGACTCCACGGGCAGATTTGCTTGATGAGGTAAAACCCCCTGGGAAGATTAAGTATGTGGCAGCAGCGTCAGGTGCTTTGCTCCCCGTGATTGGTGTTGGGAATGCCAAGGTTAAGGGAGCTAATGGGGAGCTTGTGGGGCTTGGGAATGTTCTGCTGGTTGAAGGCTTGTCTGCTAACCTTCTCTCTGTGCGACGACTGCAGAAGAGCAAGGCCGAAGTGACCTTTGGACCAACCAGCTGCCGTGCTAAGCTTGGGAAGAAGGTGCTGTGGAGTCTGGAAGAGGAGACCAGCTGCATCAAGGACCTGTGGCAGCTGCCCATCATCCCATGGAATGGGAAGACTCCAACAGCAGCAACGGCAGCAGCGGCAAAGGCAACAGCAGGAGGAGATGCAACTGCACCAACTGATGGGGTCCTGGAAGCAGTCAAGAAAGTGCAGCAGCAGCAGACACATGGTGAGGTGCTTGCTGGTGTGGATGCAAGTGCGGCATGGGCTAAGGCTTCACCAAGGAGTGGAGAGGCCGATTGGGAGACATGGCATGAGAGGCTGTGTCATGTGAACTTCCCTATGCTGCAGAAGTTGGTGAAGGATGGGAGCCTGAAGGGCTTGGAGGTGAAAGGGGGAGTGAAGGAGATTGGGAGCTGCCCTACATGCTTGGAGACCAAGTTCTCCAAGTTCCCCTTCAACAGCACTACAGGACCAGCCAAGACCCCACTTGCACTTGTGCATATGGATGTGGTGGGGCCCACAAGAGCCCCTTCCCTCTCAGGCAGCCGCTATTTCTTGACAATTGTGGATGACCACACTCGGGCAGTGTGGGTTTACCCTTTGAAGAGCAAGGGGGAGGTGGCAGCGGCTGTCCTTAAGGAGTGGATGCCGAGAGCTCAGAGGGAATGCGGACACAAGGTGAAGGTGATCCGTAGTGACAATGGTGGGGAGTTCATTGGAGCTGATTTTGAGGGGGAGTTGAAGAGGAAGGGGATCCAGCATCAACTGACAGTGCCCTACAACCCGCAGCAGAATGGCGTGGCTGAGAGGTTCAACAGGACCCTGCAGGAGGGGGCACGCACTCTCCTTGGGCGTGCAGGGCTACCTGATCCGTTTTGGGTGTCTGCACTGAGGCAGGTCGCCCTTGTGAAGAATAGAGTGCTGGCTACAGTTGGGGATAAGGAGTGGATCCCATATACCAAGTGGTATGGGAGTGCTCCAGCTGTGAATATGCTGAGGGCATTTGGGTGCATGGTAGTGTTTCATGTGCCTAAGGAGAAAAGAGGGAAGTTGGAGGCTTCTGGAAGATGGGGTGTGCACTTGGGGATTGCAAAGGATCACAAGGGATGGCTTCTATGGGACTTGACCATCCAGAAGCTGACAGTGTCAAGGGATGTGAAGTTTCTTGAGTCCCTGTACTATAAGGAATGGAAGCAGCAGCAACAGAAGCTTCCATCTACACCACTCATTGTGGAGGCAGATGAGTTGCAGCAGCCTTCAAGGCAGGTGGAGGTTGCAGTGTCTGAGGAGGAGATATCTGGGGTGACTGAAGAAGGGGGAGCAGCTGAAGTGGAGCAGCAACAGCAACATGAGTCTCCACCTCGAGTTCCACACCCGCCTGAGCGACCTAGGAGGGATGTGCGCCCTCCTGTGAGGCTGACCTATGGGGGAAGAGGCAAGCCAAATGTGGTGCAGGCTGGGAGTGTGGTTGAGCAGATTGAGGAAGATGAGATCGCTCACTGCTACTGGGCACCAATCCCTGAGCCCAAGACTCGAGAGGAGGCCTTGAATGGACCAAATGGGGAGAAGTGGAAGGCGAGTGAGGATGAGGAGTTCGGGTCCCTAATTGAGAACGAGACATGGGACCTGTGTGACTTGCCTCCTGGAAAGAAGGCAATCACTTCCAAGATGATCTACAGGCACAAGTATGGACCTGAAGGGGAGCTGACCCGCTACAAGTCTAGGCTTGTGGCACGGGGGTTTCAGCAGACAAAGGGGAAGGACTATGATGAGGTGTTTGCTCCTGTGGGGAAAGGAACAACACTGAGGGTGCTGTTGGCGATAGCTGCACTCCTGGGATGGAAGATACGGCAGATGGACATTGTGACTGCCTTTCTGAATGGGATCATTCTGGAGGAGGTGTACATGAAACAGCCAGAGGGGCTGGATGACGGGAGCGGCAGGGTCTGCAGGCTGAAGAAGGCCATCTATGGCCTTAAGCAGGCGCCTCGTGCATGGTATCACAAGTTGGAGGAGGCGCTGTTGGCTGGGGGTTTCAAGAAGAGTGAGTGTGACCCCAGCCTGTTCCTGCTGCAGGAGAAGGATGAAATCCTCATGCTCTTGGTGTATGTGGATGATATCCTTCTCTTTTCTGCATCCACTGCTTTGCTGGACAGCGCAGAGCAGATGCTGGAGATGCAGTTCAAGTGCTCCAAGATGGGTGAGGTGAAGTACTACTTGGGGATGCACGTGGAGAGAGATGTGGAAAAGGGTGTGCTGAGGTTGCACCAGAGGAAGTACTGTGAGGGGCTGGCTGAGAAGTATGGGCTGCAAGATGGGGGAAAGCCAGCAACACCACTACCTTCAGGGTTTACTGTGGAGCCATGTGCTGATGAGGAGGTAGTGGGTGAGAGTGACAGGAAGCTGTTTCATTCGATGGTTGGGTCGCTGAATTATGCTGCAAATCATACACGGCCTGACATTGCATTTTCTACATCACGGTTGGCTAGTGTGGTCTCACGCCCTAGTCATGAGCAGCTGGAAGCGGCCAAGAGGTTGGTCCGCTATGTGAGTGCTACGGCATCAGTGGGATTGGAGTACAGTGGAGTGAGGCAGCGGTTGCAGAGAGGTGCTGCAGATGTGAAGAGTGGAAAGATGCTCTTGAGTTGCTATACTGACGCTAGCTTCAACTCAGTGAAAGCGGATGGCACCAGCATTGGGGGTTATGTGTGCTTGCTAGGAGGTGGTGCTGTGAGCTGGCGCAGCAAGAAGCAGAATGAGGTGGGATTGTCTTCATGTGAGACTGAGTACATGGCCTTACACCATGGGGCCAAGGAAGTGGTATGGCTGAGGCGTTTGTTGGAGGAGTTGGGAGTTGGTCAGGAGGAGCCGACAGTTGTGTTCTGTGACAATGAGTCTGCAGTGAAGCTGGCCAAGAATGCTTGTCTGCATGGGCTGACAAAACACATAAGGCCTAAGTGGCATTGGGTGAGGAGAATCCTTGATAAGGAGGTGCGGCTGGAGATAGTGAAGACCCATCAGCAGGCAGCAGATATTTTCACTAAGCGTCTTGCGGAGGCGGATCATTGGAAGGGCATGAAGCTTGCTGGGATGAGTGTGCATTGAGTATGCATGCTTGAGATGTGGTATGGTCGATGATGGTTGGCAGCCAGAGGGGGAGATTGTTGTGTGATGTCATCATATGCTATCACATTCTGTCTGCCTCTCATCTCTTGTTTCAATTCGTATGTATGGTTTGACTGTGTGTGAAAGAATTTGTGTGTGGTGTGTTCTGGAGTTTGGGAATGTGTTTTGTGTTATTCTGTCTGAGCAGGTATTTGTGATGATAGATCTTGAGAAGATCTTTCCGACGCAACAAGAATCGCTTCAATCGGAGCAAGAACGCGAAAGCTATGAAGATTCAAAGTTCATGAGCTTGCGTTACAATTGCGGCGGTTACTAAGTGAAGTTGTGGGGTGACTTTATATGGAGTTGGGACCTTTGGGGTTGGGGAAACTTGTCACTCTACTGTAACAGCTGCAAATAGGTTGGGAACAACCAAGCTAGGTTGGCAAGGGTGGCCAACTTGGATGGATTGGTTGGGAAGGGACAAAGGTCAAAGTTGAGGTTCCTATAGGGAGGGAATCTTTGTGCTTATGGGGTTTCCTTGGTTGGGGACTCTCTTGGGACCTTCCCTCTCATCCCTCTCTTCCTATCCCAACCTTTCTCTTGCTCCTTCTAATTCCTTGTGAGATTCTTGAACTTTGATTGAACCTTTGAGATTGAGTTAAGTTCTCCTCCTACAGCTTACCCCCTAATGCGTCGAAAGCCATAGCGTCGCGAATACTTCATCAATCAACGTGATTCAAATTGGGAACGGTAGCTGAGATTAAGAGCTACAACATATCCAAGTTTCGCGACATTCCAACGGCTAGTTTTTCGTCGACGTCGTTTCTTGTAAAGACGACTTTTCTGTCCAGAATTTCGGATTTATATTTTGAGTAATTCTAGCTCCTAAGTTCACCTAGACTCCGTCCTTAATCCTAACAATATCTCGTGCCCTCATATCCAGTGCAATAACAATCCGTGCCCCCAAATTGTGCCCCTTGTAATGCATGCCCCCAAGGTATGTAGCACCGTATTCCGTGCCCCCGTTTTCAGTGCCCTTATTGCGTTCCGTGCCCTTTCCCTCATATCCCATGCCCTAGTATCTTGTGCCCTCACATTTGATGCTGCCATATTCCGTTACCTCATATCTTATGGCCTCGTATCTCGTGCCCTCATATCCCGTGCACTCACATTCCGTCCCCCCACATTTGTAATTTCTGCCCCCAAGGTACGTGGCACCGTATTCCGTGCCTCTTTTTCCATTCCCTTACTGCGTTTCGTGCCCTCATGACCCTTTTCCCTCATATCCCATGCCCTAATATTTTGTGCCTTCATATTTGGTGCTGCCCATATTCCGTGACCTCGTATCCCGTGACCTCGTATCTCGTGCCCATATATCCAGTGACCGCACATTCCGTGCCCCCATCTTGTGCCCTTGTAATCCGTGCCTCCAAGGTATGTGGCACTGTATTCCGTGCCTCTTTTTCCGTGACCTTACTGCGTTCCGTGCCCTCATGACCCTTTTCCCTCATATCCCATGCCCTAATATCTCGTGCCCCCATATTTGGTGCTGCCCATATTCCATGACCTCAGATCCCATGACCCCGTATCTCCTGCCCTTGTTCACTCACATTCCGTGCCCCCAAATTGTGCCCTTGTAATCTGTGACCCCAAGGTGTGTGCCCACCGTATTCCATGCCCTCATTTTCTGTGCCCTTATTGCGTTCCGTGCCCTCACGACCCCTTTCCCAAATATCCCGTGCCCTCATATCCTGTGACCTTGTATCTCGTGCCCTCGTATCCCGTGCACTCACATTCCGTGCCCCCCATATTGTGCCCTTGTACTCCGTTACCCCAAGGTGTGTGCCCACCGTATTCCGTGCCCTCATTTTCCGTGCCCTTATTGCGATCCGTGCCCTCATGACCCTTTTCCCTCATATCCCGTTCCCTATCTCGTGCCCTCGTATTCGGTGCTGGCCATAGTATTGTGCCCTCATATCCCGTGACCTCGTATCTCGTCTCGTGCCCTCGTATCCCAAGCACTCACATTCTGTGCCCCCATATCTCGTGCCCTTTAAATCCGTGTGCCCCCAAGCTATGTGCCACCGTACTCCGTGCCCTTGTTTTCCGTGCCCTTATCGTGTGCGTTTGGTGCCCTCATGGCCCGTACCTCCACACCCCGTACCTTCGTATCCCATGTACACCCACCGTGCCCTCGTATCAAGTCCGCTCCTATCACACGCTTGTTTACCGTGTTGTTTCGTGTTGTTTTCTGTCGTGTTGTTTTCGTGTATAATTGTTTAACCGCCTAAAATAAGTAGTAGGACGAAAGATGCGTGACACGAAAACGAAACATTTTAGTTTTAAAAGAAAGGAATAGATAAAACACATATCGAAAAACGTTTTAGAAAGAATGCAGAAATCCAATGCAATACACTATTGGAAAAAAACATTTTATGGTAGATAACATGCAGAGTAACAAGCAACTACAGTTTTATTGATCAGGATTTATTGCAAAAAAAAAAAAAAAAAAAAAAAAACAACAACAACAACAACCACAACAACAACAGCAACAACAAACAACAAGAACAACAAGAACAAGAACAACAACAAGAAGAACAAGAACAAGAAGAACAAGAACAAGAACAACAACAGCAACAACAACAAGAACAAGAACAAGAACAAGAGCAAGAACAACAAGAACAAGAAGAACAAGAACAACAAGAACAAGAACAACAAGAAGAACAAGAACAACAAGAACAAGAACAACAAGAACAAGAACAAGAACAAGAACAATAACAAGAAGAACAACAAGAACAAGAAGAACAAGAAGAACTAGAACAACAAGAACAAGAACAAGAACAACAAGAACAAGAACAAGAACAAGAAGAACAACAAGAACAAGAACAAGAAGAACAACAAGAACAAGAACAAGAACAAGAACAAGAACAAGAACAAGAAGAACAACAAGAACAAGAACAAGAACAAGAAGAACAACAAGAACAAGAACAAGAACAAGAAGAACAACAAGAACAAGAACAAGAACAAGAAGAACAACAAGAACAAGAACAAGAACAAGAAGAACAACAAGAACAAGAACAAGAACAACAACAAGAACAACAACAACAACAACAACAACAACAACAACAACAACAACAACAACAACAACAACAACAACAACAAAACTGGTGCACGGAAACATGAAACCAAATTTATAAGGTTGCTACGCAACCCAAAAAAACTAGGCGAAAGTAATTTCCGCAAAGTTCCCCCGATGAATACAGAATTTGCCGAAATAGCAGAACCGTGATTGCAATATGGAATTTCAGCAGCAAGAACCAAGTTCAACAATGCATGAACAGTGTGCGGGGGAAGGGGGGGAACAAAGAGTGACGTGAGACCCCTAAAAAAATGCGTTCAGAATGGTCGCAGGCAAAAATCAAGGATAGTGAGATGAACAGTAATTGCGGGTTTGTCCTTTTCTGCAGCATTCACAAGCTGCCCCCTGTTCCCTGATAGTTGCGACGTTCTAACGGCATTTACTACGTTACCCTCTATTGGACGAAGACAAGTTCAGGATTCCTGAACTTGATAGCAAACCATTCTAGACACTGCTACAGCGGTCGCTGCTGCTCTCTCCCCGATGATTGCAGAAACTTAACGCCGCGGTACAGGTTCTTGGAAATGTACAAAAATGAACAAGTGACAAACCGGGAAGGGTTGTCCTGATTGGGTAGCGGGGTTGGCGAACGTAAGGGTTAAAGCAACGGATCTTGATTGGTTCGTAGCCTGCTATCTTTCGTCACACTTGTGAGCAGTTGTTGGGACAAATGCGGCGAGTGTAAACATTTGAGATTGGGGGGTTGGGACGAAATCGGGGGGGGGGGGGGGGACGAATGATAGGGGCGGGCGGGGAAGCAAATGTGTAAACATTCGAGATTGTGGGGTGGGTGGAAACAAAATGGTGGGGCAGGGGGAGCGCGTGACATGCACGGGGAGGGATGAAACAGAGGGAACGGGGGAGTAACGGATTTGTGGGGCGGGGGTACACGGTCGCCTTGCGAGAATGAGGGATTTGTAGTTCACAAATCCCACATTCCGCTCGATCGACTGTTTTTCATGACGGGCGAGGACAAATTTTCAACAGGCCACGTTACGTTGTAATCAATGTCCCAATGTTTATAGTTTGAAAATAATTCAGGGAATGTGTACCGTGGCTTTAAGGACGCAAAGCCCCCATCTCGTATTTCACGAAGGTATTACCGTTGAAGGGGGCTAGATATTCCTGATTGGTTAACGAGTATGAAATTAGAGGTTGAGTTGGCGAGGGCGGCGACGGGAAACCGTGTTTCGCTGCTGGGCTTGGTGTGTGAGTCCCGTGTCACGTATTTCACTGCGGGGAGTATTATGGTTGCTTTGCCCGAGAGTTGCGATCAGGGCGTGATCGCGGACAACAAAGCGAGTGCAAAGTTTCAATATGGTTGCAAAGTTGCTGGTAGGGCAAAAATCGCGTGGAACACCTGGCGAGTCTACGAATTCTGTAACCAAACCTGATCCCCAAATTTACTGTTGCAATCAGAAACTTTACTCCACGCCCTCAAGTTTCTTTACTGTTCAGTCCAACCATCACGCCCGTCCCTCGCACGCAATTCAAAGCCCTCGCAACACGTTTCCTCACGTTACACTGTACCAAAGGTATTACCCTTGAGCACCCCTGGTGAAATACGAGATGGGGGCAGGTCTGCTTTGCTGGTATGCAGGCAAAACATATCCTGCAAAGTATTCCATAAATGTTCATGTCGTCACGGTGCGGTGGAGCACATCTCAACTCACCAGACTGCTGCTGTGCTGCTCGAGAGCTGCCATCACGAGGTCTACGGACATGCGCCAAGCCACCCCGATTGCATCCCTCTTTTCACCATCCGTAGTTCACGTTGTGTAGTCGTCAGTAGGAGGGCCTGGTGACCTTGATGTCAAAACTGCCTTGTTCGGGCTAAGAGCGCGTTCCTGGGCTTGGACGTCAGGAGTAGTTTAGTCATGCGACTCGTAATGTCGGAAAATGCATTTCCAATGTTTGGCAATGCGTCTTGGGGTTTGGCCAACCAAAACCAGATAGTCCAGAACCCTGCAACCCTGGCACACAACCAAACGCGACCATAGGTGCTGTCAGGTTTTGCCAGGTAGGCGACTCATTTTGTCAAACTCAACAACAAAAATCTCCTCCAAACGTCAGTATACTACCCGCAAACAACCATCTCCGTACAGGCTCGATTGACTGGGTTGGTTGTATGATATCGCTACGCTGCCCATAACTTGTCGCAGGCGGTGACAACTCCCTCGATGTCTCGTTTGGCTGTTCGTGAGGGTCTTGACCACGCATTCTGATTCGACACGATCGGAGTCTGTTCGCATTTGATCGTATAGAGCTCGCATCAACGGTCGCAGGATGGTTGGGTTCGATGCTGGCCAAAATGTGTAGACCCCAAAACCAAGTAGCATAGATGCACATCGCCGTACGTCCCGCCAGTTTCGCCCATCCGCGCGCTCTTGACGACCATCACCCGGCCGCCCGAGGACACTTGTCCTCTCGTGACGACTCATCGCAATTTTCGGAAGCCAATCGTTAAACTCCATCACAACCTCTGAAAATTACGAAACACTAGCGAACATACCCAAAAAACGCGGCGAAAACGTCGCCATCTTTCGACGGAAATAATTTCGTCTACGCCCGGGGAAGGGGAGGACCGACTGATCCCAGTCGTCCATCGGACAGGATCCGACGGCTTCGGAAGCGCTACGCCACCAGCAGGGCCTCAGATTGGTTTTAGGGAGGCTGATTGCTCAAGGTCGCCCATGTGAGAACCTTGTTTTTCAGGGTTGGGTTTTGGGCGCGGCATGTTTTTTCAGGCAAAAAAAAAAAGATTAAGCCTGACGAATCAGGCCTACATTTTTGTAGTATCTGATCCTTGTTTCGGGTCGGACTTCATTGCGTACAATGTATCTACGTGATTTTGGCGAAGGACTCTGAGCAGATTCCTACGTCCTCGCGTCAAACTAACCTTGTGTCTGACTTGTCATTTTTCCCGAACCGCTGCTCAGACTTTCAATCCTCGCGTCAGACTTGGGCGCACGTGCCCAGCACCGCGAAAGTCGCAAGCGATGCCACGTGCATGCGTGTCACTCGCAAATGCAGTTTCGCCCAAACCAACACCTCGTAATTTGCCCGAAATGTCATTTGTGCTGTCGCAGGGGCTGCGAACTTTCACCGTAGGTTTCCAGTTTAACAAAATACACACTGCAGTTCGCCGCTTTCTGCGGGTTGGTCTGTGCTTTTGGCTAAGGCCTAGTCACACTCCTCACACCTACTCCAGCTCACGTCAAACTGGTACGTCATTTTGGCGAAGGACCTGTCACCCCCCTCACACGTGCTCCAGCTCGCCTTGGACTAAATTTGCGTTATTCTGGCCAAGGACCAGTCACGCCCCTTACATCTGCTCCAGCTTGCCCTGGCAGAAAGGATTTTGTTTCAGGGCGAATCTCGACTAAGGCTGATTCGTCTGACTCGCTAAAACAAGAACAAACTGTTTTTCAGGGCTTAAAAAATGGGGAAACATAAATTTCAGGTTTGACAAAAATCAAACCCTAAAAAATAGGGTATGTCCTAAAAAACACCCTGACTTCTGAGAGCCTAGCCACCAGCATCCCTCCGCCACCTTCCCCGATAGGGACTGCTTGTCAAACATATTTGTATATGTTACTGTAGACTAGATAGGGGCATGCCTTAGTGAGTACAACAATTTAGGTCCAAACCACCATGTACCATGTTTTCTAGTCATTCCGCTACTCGGAGATGGTATCATAGTAGGTTAGGTCCGCCCACCCGCTTCCGCCCTCGCCCTAGCCTAGCGCCCCGCCGTTCCCTTAGCGAGCCCCACTGGCCTTAGCATGCCCCGCTGGCCTTAGCGTGCCCCGCTGGCCTTCGTGCACCCCGCTGGCCTTAGTGCGCCCCGCTGGTCCCTTACGCGACCCGCCTGCCCCTAGCGCCCCGCTCGCCCTTAGCGCCCCGCCGAACCCTCGTGCGCCCGCTGGTCCCTTAGCACCCCCCGCGCCTCGCCCGGCCCTCGCGCCCCTCTGGTCCCTCGCGCCCCGCCCGGCCCCTCGTGCCCCGCCCGGCCCTCACGACCCGCTGGTCCCTCCTCGCGCCCCGCCGACCCTTAGCGCCCCGCTGACCCCTTGAGCCCCGCTGGTCCCTTACGCGCCCCGCTGGCCCCTCGCGCCCCGCTGGTCCCTTCCGCGCCCCACCTGGCCTTAGCGCCCTGCCAGCCCTTAGTGCCCCACCGCCCCTTTCAGGCCCGGCCCATCGCGCCTCGCCAGCCTTCTTCGCGCCCTGCCGGCCCATCTTGCTCTGCTGGCCCCGTGAGCCCCAGCCGGTCCTTCTACGCACCGCTGGCCCTGTGAGCCCCGCTCGGTCTACTGCCGAGGAGTTCTGCCGCCGCGTCGCTGTGTAGCTGTGCCGCTGTGTCACTGTGCCACTGTGTCGCTGTGCTGCCGTGCCGCCGTGAAGCTGTGTCGATGAGGTCGCACGATGGCGAACTCTGAACTCCGCCTGGACGCGGAGGGGCACGCGGTCGACTTCGCCGCCTGGCTTGTCGATCTACGCCGTCACCTCACAGGTCAGCGCCAAGATGGGCACTCCCTAGCTGTCCATATTGATGGCTTGCTTCCCCCCCCCCCCCCCCCCCCCCCCCCTCGCCTGATGCCCTCCCTGCTGACCCCACCACTGTTCAGCGTGAGGCATTTTCTCCTGCTGCGCTTGCTCGCGCTGTCTGGGATTCCCACGATGCCGTAGCACAGCTAGCCATTAGTCATGCTCTTCCCCTGTCTGAGTGTCTGTGCTTCACTGCTGTTGCGAATGCCAAGGATTTCTTAGTTGCAGTCGTTTCGCGCTACTCCACGCCCGCCTCCGTCTCTGTTGGCCGCCTAATCCTCCCTCTGCTGTTCCCTCATCTTGCCGCCTTCCCCACTATAGCTGACCTAGCCATTCACCTCCGTGCACTAGAGGCTAGCTACGGGGCTCCTAGCACTGACGCCCTGCTCACTGCCTTCCCCTCCGCCGTTCTGCGCTACCCTGTACCTCATTGCCATGCGCCTTCCGAACTGCTTCGCTACTGCCCGCGACCACTTCCTTAGTCAGCACCCAGGTGACCTCACCGTTACCGCCTTTGTCCCTGCCCTATTTGAGATAGAGACACACCAGCGCACTATCGCTCAGTTGAGCGGTACTGCGGCAGTCCCTAACTTTCAGGACTGTACGCCCACCCAGTGCACGTACGCTAATGTTTCAGCCGCGGTCGCCGCGACTGCCCCAACCGCCGAGACTGCAGCTGCGGCATCCACGCAGCAGCGCCCGCGTCGGGGCCGTCGGGGCCCCAAGGGGGGGCGTGGTGGCGGGGGTGGTGGAGGTGGTGGTGGTGGTGGTGGTGGTGGTGGTGGTGGTGGTGGTGGTGGTGGTGGTGGTGGTGGTGGTGGTGGTGGTGGTGGTGGTGGTGGTGGTGGTGGTGGTGGTGGTGGTGGTGGTGGTGGTGGTGGTGGTGGTGGTGATGGCGGCGGCGGGGACAGTGGGTCTGACGAGGGGATCTGGGCTGGTGCCCAGGAGCAGCAGCAGCCGCAGCCGTCGCAGCAGCAGCAGCTGCAGCAGCACCAGTCGTGGGCCTGCCTACCACTCGTCTTTTTGTTCCTCCGGTCCTTGCCTCCCTTGTTATCGACCCGTCTGTTCCTGTCTCGAGTCTTGACGCTCTTGTCGCAGTTGTCGCTGACTTCGCCTCTACCCACCGCCTTGACTACGCCACAACTCTGGTCTCTGACCCTGCCTGCCCTCCGTCCGTCGGAGGTGCTCCTGCCCTTGGCACTGACGTCTTAGAGGATAGGCAGTACGAGCTTGCTTTCCTATCTGAGGCTGCTCCCCATCTCTGTTCCATGCTGCTAGTCCCTGAGGGTGACCTAGACGCCCTTGACATCCCGACCCCTCGCACTTACGCTGAGGCAACCTCAGGACACTGGGCCTCTCAGTGGATAGCTGCCATGGAGCAGGAGATGGCATCTTGGAGATCCACCGGCACCTACGTCGACGCAGTTCCCCCACCTAGGGTGAACGTAGTCGATGGCCGGTGGCTCTTCAAGGTGAAGCGCCCTCCAAGTAAGCCGCCGGTGTTCAAGGCGCGCTATGTGGCTAGAGGCTTCAGTCAGCGAGAGGGTGTGGACTTCTTTCAGACCTTCGCCTCGACCCCAAAGATGACTACTCTTCAGGAACTACTACACGCAGCAGCACAGCGTCACTAGGAGCTACACTCCGTCGACTTCTCCACAGCGTTCCTCCAGGGCAGCCAACACAAGCAGGTCTACCTACACCTTCCAGAGGGCTTCACTGGTACCTTCCCCCATGGGACCCAGTGGCTCCTCTGGCGTCCATTCTATGACATGCGACAGGCGCCTCGTGAGAAGCACGATACGTTGCGTGCTACACAAGCTGACCTCCAGCTCTTTCCGTCGTCCGCAGACCCCTTACTCTTAGTTTGTGCTGGCCAGACCCGTTCTATATCCTTTCCTACATAGACGATCTGGTCTTCGCTACTGCAGACAGAGATGCACAGGCCTCCGTGAAGGCTGAGCCGTCGAGGAGACACACCTGTACTGACCTAGGAGAACTGCACCACTAACTTGGTCTGCAGATCTTCAGGGACAGAGTTGCGCGCAGCATCACTCTGACACAGTCACACTTGGTGCGCCAGGTCCTTCAACGGTTCGGTCTTCAGTTCTCCTCTGCACAGCCCACGCCTCTACCAGTAGACCACAGGCTCTCTGCTCTAGTTCTTGAGGAGTCTGTAGAGCCTAGTGGTCTTTACGCAGAGCTGGTGGGTTGTCTCATGTACCTGATGACTTGCACTCGTCCAAATCTCGCATACCCTCTCTGCATCTTGGCACGCTTTGTGGCCACAGGGAGACACCGACCACAGTACTGGTCAGCAGGTAAGAGGGTTTTGCATTATCTAGCAAGTACATCGGGCATGGGACTCGTGCTGGGAGGACGCAGGCCAGTGGTCCTTACTGGGCAAACAGCACTTCGTGGGCAGACGACGCTGAGACACTCAGGTCCTCCCAGGGCTACTGCTTTAGCCTAGGTTCAGGTGCCATCTTATGGATATCCACTCGCTCCTCGTCTGTTGCCCAGTCTAGCTATGAGGCTGAGTTCTACGTTGGTGCCATGGCGGCACAGGAGCTCCGCTAGCTGTCTGTCTTGCTCACCGACTTAGGTGAGCGGTCCTGTACGCTGACAACAGGGCCATGATTCTCCTGTGTCAGGAGCCTCGACTCGAGGGCAGAGCGAAGCACATCCAGCTGCAGTACTTCCTCCTGTGCGAGCTACAGCAGCGCCACCACGCACGCGTAGTACACTTGCCGCCACGCACGCGTAGTACACTTGGCCTCCGGTGCCATCACAGCTGATATATTTACAAAGGCGCTTGCGCCTAAAGATCGTCAGCGTCACTGTTTGCAGCTTGGTCTAGCTCCTGTATCTCCTTACTTGCTATGACCTTGATTGTGTACTCCTCTTATATACAGTATATATATTTATATATTCCTTCTTGACTGGCCTTGTGGCTTCTCTTCTGATGGCCGGACTAGTAGTGACGCCCTGGCTTGCTCTTGTTGATTTTTTTGTCTTGTTGACTGGCCTTCGGACCCTAGTCTCAGAGTTGGACTAGTAGTGCCGCATTGGGTTGCTTGTCTCTTGCCAGGCACTGCCCCTTGTCCAGTCTAGGGGGTGTGTCAAACATATTTTGTACCATATTCCCCTGGATAAAACACTCGCCGGAATTCATCACCCATGGGTGGTTTGGGCGGACCTGGGTGCTTTATTAAACTGGATACTCATACCATCCTAGTTTTTGGCATGAAACCTATACACCACCCCCCTGGTTCATTTTCAATGGATTTCTGTAGATTTTGCCTCTTATCACAGTCTCTTATCAGACTCGCGCGTCACTGAGCAGTGCATGCAAGCTCGACGCGAAGTGGTTCAATGCGAAGTGGTTCAATGCGGTGTAGAACTGTTACCATGCCTAGAATTCCCGTCACTCAGGCGAATGTTGTGAGTCTGATACTGTACGAGGCTCATGGGAACACGCTCCTCATAGTCAACACTTTGCAGTGCGAGAGAATCCATGTCGGTCGGCCTTGGTTGGGTCGTGAAGGAATCTGCAACAGATTCCTTCCAGCTTTGGAGCGCTGTCACATTGTGGCGTCGAGGCTGCCACTTGCCACCACGATTTGACAGAACGTGACAACCTGTGACGCAGGCAAGCTATGACTGTTTGCCTGCAACGTGGCATGAGGATGGTCCTCCTCACCATATACGCGATCTCGTCAAAATTCGGCACAAAAGAGCTGTCTACAATGTTGGAAATACCTCAAGGACTTAAGCGTTTCTGAAGTATGACACTACACTCGAGTAAAGCCGTATCGGGTACGCGAGTCAACGGAGGTTACACGAGGAGGTTGGAGGAAAGAACACGAAAGGACAAAAGACTCGAAGGGTCGCAACCTCCGGTTGCGACTGACCGTTACAACTGCAAGGGTGGTAACCGAACCGATCATCGAGTCATTGTGCGACTCGATAACCGTTCTTTCAACTGTATTCCACAACTGCTTTACTTTCCTATTTTCTATATATTGCTGTATGCTTGTTTCTTTTAATCAATCACTTGCTCTCAGATACTAGTGTAAGGGTTCAACTACTCAACTTCTGCTGCACTACTCAAGCATCCTTGTACAACTAGGGACTTCGTCTCTTAAAGATCCTAAGGGCTTTTTCTCAGCCCAACATGGTATGAGAGCTGGTCAGAGACCAAACTCCCAGCAACAACGCTCTATCTACAGTTAACACATCAACAGCTTCATCAATTATAAGTCATGGACAACAAGGGCAAGAAGATCTCTACAGGCTCACCCAGCGCCCAAGACACTCAACCTGGAAACTCTGGACTACACACTTCAGGACAGCAAACCGAGACCGGCGCTGCTCAAGAAACAACAGGAAGGGCACCAGAAATGGTAACCCCATCATCCTCTTTAAGCGTGGACCCAAACCTTATGGAAAGGTTCTTCAGCTTCATGTCGCACTTCGAACAGCAGCAGCAGACAAGGACACCTGCACATTCAACACAGAGCAACGGAGGAAACATGGGATTAGCGCCAATGAGCCTCGACAACTCATCGTTTGGGCGACACAATCAAGCGCCTACCTTTGCGCCTTATCACTCTTCACCGGGGATGTTCGAGTTCATGCCGCCGCGTGCCCAACCAACAGCATCTGCATTACAACAAACACCAAACAAGATATTGAGTCTCCAGGCGCAGTTTTCACACGTGGTCAAACTGCAGACATCCTCACCGTTCAACGGACCTAACTTTTTTACCTGGAGCTTCGAGTTCGAGCTGTTGATGGAGGCCGCGCATCTCTTGGGATACTTCAACGGGTCCCTGCCATTTCCAAGCAATGGCACTGCAAAGGAGCAGGAAATCTTCACTTATCAATCGCTGCTTGCGTACACAGTTCTCCTGCGGAACTTGTCACCACAAGAACAACAAAGCATCAGAACGTATCAGAGCTCCGGAAACTCCACGGAGCTCGCACGGCATCACCTCAAGTGTCTCTACCAAGCAAATGACAGTGTGACACAAAGCAGACTCATGCAGCGGCTGACAACAATACAAATGAAAACCAGGGAAAAGGCGATGCAGTATATGAGTCGCAGCCAGACACTCCGCAACCTCCTGCTTCGGTGCGGAGGTACAATCACTGAAGAAAGCTTCGTGACACTTGTCCTCGCCGGGCTCGGGCCAGAATGGAGAACCACCCGCTCACTTCTTCGCGCCCACGGACGAATTTCGGAGATGCACCTCTGCGCTGAGCTTCATGCTGAACAACAGGAGATGGATCTGTTTGAAGAAAGACAACCAAGAAACAAGCAGCAACTGTTAGTCTTCTATGCTCAACGAAGAAATGACAACTACAATCGACGTAACAGGCAGAATCGACACGACACCAAAGGACTCACCATCGTGCCACCATTGTGCCACAACTGTCAGACATCCGGACACTCCAAACTTAACTGCACACGCCCCCGAGTTTATCGTCCAGTAGACCCACAAGTCGCTTCCACTCAAGAAAGTCCGCCAAGGCGTTCCTCCACATCTGCACAGGGCACACCGAACATCATCAATTGTATGGTACGCATCGACAACTGCGCACCCGGATCACCACCCACTTACGCTCCAGACGAAGAAGAACTGCCGACGCCGTGCTCACAAGGCCTTCAGGTCAACCCGACGTACGCTGCAGTCGCCAACGCCGAACCCACTGGGCGAAACACCTGGTTCTTGGACAGCTGTTGCGGCCAACACATGTGTTCTTACGGACGCTTCGTGCAACAAGAGCGATGCCTCAACCGCGATGTCATCATCATCGTCACCAATAACGAGAACCAGAAAACAAACAGACAAGGAGTGGTTCAGTTGCAGTCCATGGAGAAAAATGTCATACTGCAACTCAACAAGGTTCTAATCGTCGACAACTTGGGATACAATCTGCTAAGCGCCAGTCAACTAATGGAAAAAGGGATTCACCTGGAATGCGACTCGGACGCCAACGATTTTGTCTTTACCACGGGAAGGGCGGCCTCTTCATCGGTCGCGCTCTCTTGAAGTCGGGTGTCTTCGTGTTGGATTTCGTCCCCGACCGCGGTACTGCCGACAGGGATGGCATCGTGTCGTTCGCCGCCTGGACGCACCCGCCGGATCTTGACCCTGACTTTACCCCAGATGGATTGTGGTACTCTAACACCATACCTGCAGTAGAGAGAACGCGAGCATTAGCAGTCATACGACAAGAACGACAAGTACCAGCAAGCGTCCTTTCCCCGACGTCACCTGCAGTAGCAACAGCAGGACCCAGCCGTGTACCATCACCAGCAATCCAAGGACCGCCAACCGAAGCAGGTCAACTTATGCCCATCATCCGAGAAGTCTGCCGAAGTCCCGCCACGGTCGTCGCATTCTTCTCCAACGCCGACATGTACCAGCGCTCACCCGGCCATCGCGCTCTCGACGACATCTGGCATCAACGTCTCGGGCATCTTGCAAACAGCACAGTGCTACAAACCATACAAGCAGAAGTGTTAGAAAGAAACGCCCTTCCCACAACGAGCGGCCAAGAACTTCGACGGCCCCGCGCACGATACTTCACGTGCCCCGAAGCCAATCTTCCCCACCAACCTTTTCCGTCGCACCACAATCCAAGCGCACCTACATACGAATTGATGGGAAAAGTCTACAGCGACATCTTAAATATGTCTCGAGATGACAGTGAAGCAGAATACAACTATGTTATAACGTTCATCGACGCAGCAACACGATACGTCTGGCATTACAACCTCAAGACACGAGATCAAGCGTTCGAAGCCCTCACGGCATGGCTGCCCATCGCTGAACGCGAATCAGGCTCGCAACTCAAGAGCTTCCAGTCAGACGGAGCACTAGAGTACCAGTCACAACGATTCAGAAACTACTTGGCAGAAAGAGGCATCAGACGCCTGGTGTCCCTGCCCTATGCTCACCAACAGCAGGGGGTCGCAGAGAGGATGAACCGGACCTTGCAGACGACGATGCGAAAACTACTCCTGGGGATGAGACTGCCCAACACACTGTGGCCAGACACGATGACGCATGCAATCCACCTGCTCAACTTGTTGTCCTCGTCATCACTTCCCAACAACGCATCACCGCACCTGCTGTGGACACGAAAAAGGGGCAGCACAAAATTACTTCGAGTCTTTGGCTGCATGGTACAGTACAGACCCCACACAGCTCGAGCAGGACGATTCTCTCAATGAGCACGGTGGGGACTACACCTCGGGATCGCAAAACATTTCCAAGCATGGAAACTCCTCGACATACAAGACAAAAATACAGTGGCCTCACGTGATGTGATTTTCTACGAGCGACTGACGCAGCAGCATTACCTGGACAATGTCGCCAACACGGAGGACCCCACCGACGGCTTCAAGGGCCTTCGGTCCTTCGTCGACTGGGCTGCCGAAGCTGACGCAGCAGAAGAAGACGTACCTGAAGCCTCGGAAACTGCCGGGCCACTCCCTTACTGCTCCGTGCCTGTTCCACTCGACGACGACAATCCTCTC